AGCTTGTTATCAATGAATCTTATTCTCACTCCTACTTCTTCCATCGATCTTAAGGCTTCTGCAATTATATCATTCTCTTCCTTAAGAACCTCCCTTCTCCATGCTGCTTTTATCCACCGATTCGTTGACTTTACCATATAGCAGCAACACGCAATCTCGTCTCCTTGTAAATGTCCCTCAAAGATTTCAATCCCCTTCCCCCTCTTTCTCTCTTAAGGTTAAGTCTTTCATCACTTGCCTGCCTTCCCAGCATATTCTTTGATCTTATCTCTCTTATTCTTATAACCTGATCTAATTCATTCAATTCTCCGTTWCTAAATTTACAAACATTCATTGGGTATGCTGCAACAGGTATCACTTTGGTGTTAATTGCACGTATAAGATTAACATCGTTAAGTTCTCAGTTAACATTTTGACTATCCTAGTAACTGCGCTCTTGGCTCTTTCAAATGCGGCCTTTGTCTTTATCCCATCAGCTTGTTCCACACCAAGGAATTTGTACATATCATTTTCATCTGGATCTATAGTCGTCATTCTTTCTTCCAGTACTTGAAGTCCTTCTCCGTTTACCATTGTCCCATGTTCGAACACAATTTCTGCACATTTCGCTACCCCATAGCATGCTCCAGTATAGTGACTCGCTTGAACAATAATTTCATTAACATCTTTCAGTATCTTGTCGCTCTCCTGGTACACTTTCAAGTCATCCACAAACAAACTATGCGTTCTGCTGACATTTCGGTTTCCTGGCTCTCCCATTCGCTAGCCTCCAGTTTGTTGCAGTAACATACACACTGGTATCTCCGAAATGTAGAATCTAACTGGCGAGTAACTATTCCCTTGTAAAAACCCACACAAAATGTCAATCCATCGACTAGTGCTCTTTGCACTTCCATCCCAAATTTCTAGTCTAGTCTAGTCTAGGTATCCCAATCACCCTTATTACACACCACGCACCCTTATCATACGATCACTGTCCTTATGAATTACGAGGGAGACTGTTTGAAATGACTGTTTCTCATATTTTTTTTCTCGTACTTTTTTACGGTGTTAAATTTATCTTTTTACACAACTGTTTCTTTAGAAACACCGACGCAGCTCACACTAGTTTACCGCTAGTTCCCACCATTGAAACTATGAGTGGGGACGAGCCAAATAACGGCTGCGAGAGGAGACCGATTAAGCGTTGTATCGATAGACGTCTCATACTAGCACTACACCCAGGGAGTGGACAGGGTATGGCGCATATTTTAATGGTTATTTTGCAGGTCTGATTGGTTCACTTGTGATGGTTTATGCCCTGACACTACTTGGAGAATGTCTGAAGTTCTATAATATATACCGAACGTACAATYCCTCACAGACCGATCGCAACGTCATCCATTCGACGAAAAGGTAATTTTGATATAAATACTCCAACACAGTCTTATCCTAAATTGCGGTGTATATATCTGTATATATTTTATAGAATGTTCTTGCTCTGTAATTTGTTGTCTTATATACATATTCTGTAAAATCGGGCCTAGTTACCTAGAAGCACATAAAGCGCCTTCAAAATGTGTTTAATTTTAGATTTTTGTTTTTGATTTGTCGTTTAAATCAACTTTTAATTGCGGTTCTCCTCTAAAC